ACACACACACACACACACACACACACACTCTCTCTCTCACACACACACACACACACACACACACACACTGATCCCTGCTGCTGCTGCTCAACTGGAGGTTCATTTTCCAAAATAAAAGATGTGGAAACGTAATTAGCTGCATTTTATTGTCACAATCATTTTTTATTCATTAAAATTAGCAACGAAGCCTGTTTCCACCACGGGATAAAAAAAATAAAGGAAATCCTGACTTTTGCGCTGTTTATCTGCTATTTTCAAAGAAACTGTAAGCAGTTCTAGCAGTAGAGCAGAGTTATTATCATTAACTAAAACCAATAAAAAACTTTTTTGGGTTACGCTATTTTAAGTTGTCCTTGTTACAGTGTAATTATACATTTAAGTACTGAGTAATATTAATTAACTACATACTATATGGTTAGGGTTAGGATTAGGGTTTGGTTTAGGCTTACTTGTATGTAATTATGCATAATTTATTGTTAACATCTAATTCTAAATAAGAACAAAAACTATAATAATATATATATATATATATGATGCTAAAATAACCCAAAAAATGCAAAAATATAAAACTGACATCTAATTCAAAATATGAACAAAACCTATAATAGTACATCAGCTGGTGTTTTGTGTGCAGTTCCTCTCCCGGCCGCAGGAGGCGATCATCATCCAATCAGCGCCGTGCTCCGCCTGTGTTTCTGTCACGTGCGCGCAGCGTGCGTTTGTGATGATGAACGGATGAGACGCTCGGTTTAACGATTCTGATTATGTGAGTGGATTATCATATCGGTCTTCTCTTTAGTATCTGATCAGAGCGTTTAATGATGAGGAAGCAGCAGACGTTCAGCCGCGGTCTGTCCGATAAAGTCCGCAAATCTAAAGCGGCTCCGGAGATCCAGAGAAACCCGTTCGAGGTGAAGATAAACCGCAAGAAGTTCGATGTTTTGGGCCGCAAGAGTAAACACGACGTGGGTCTGCCGGGGGTCTCCAGATCCAGAGCCATTCAGAAGGTAAAACACGGTAATGTTGGTGTTTGTGGACGTTTACTGTGTAAATACGGTCGTGTGATGACGTCACTGTACCGCTGCATTATTCTTCTGGGTTACACTTTATTTTAAGGTGTCCTTGTTACAGTCTAATTATACATTAAGTACTGAGTAATATTAATTAAGTTACATGTACTTACTACAGGGTTAGGGTTTGGTTTAGGGTTACTTGCATGCAATTATGCATAATTAATTGCTATTTTAATAGTAAGTACATGTCACGTGTAACAAGGACACCTTAAAATAAAGTGTTACCTTCTTTTGTTATGATTGATAATATTTAATTGAAAACAGCAGAGTAGAATTTTTTCAGGTTTCTTTGATGAATAGAAAGTTCAGAAGAACAGCATTTATCTGAAATAGAAATCTTTTGTAACATTATAAATGCCTTTATCTTCACTTTTGATCAATTTAAAGCATCCTTGCTAAATAAAATTATTAGCTAATTTCTATAATCTCTTTCCCAAATATATATATATACTGCTTTTTATTGTTTTAAATATTGATAATAATAATACTACTAATAAATGTTTCTCGAAGAGCAAATCAGCATATTTATATTCAAATAGAAAGCAGTTATTTTAAATAGTTAAAATATTTCAAAATTGTACTGTTTTGCTGTACTTTGGATCAAATAAATGCAGGTTTGGTGAGCAGAAGAACATAAACAAATCTTTCTGTTCAAAAACTGTTTTTTGACTGGTAGTGTATATCGAATAAAACCCCACTAGGTCTCAGACGGAGTGTGTGTTTGATTCCTCAGAGGAAGGAGACTCTCCTGAAGGAGTTCAGAGCGAAAGACAAAAACAACACGTTCATCGACAGACGCTTCGGTGAATATGACCAAAAAATCACACCTGAGGAGAAGATCCTGCAGAGATTCACGCTGGAGCGACAGGTGACGCATCACATTCATCTGTAACAATAACTACAACTTTAACATATGTAACGATAACTGTAACTGTAACTATACCAACATTTGTAACAATGACGACGTCTGGAACGATAACTACAACTGTTATTATAACTATAACGACAACTGTAACTATTACATCTGTAGCAATAACTATAATGACAGCGGTAACGTTAACTATATCTAACCATATCTGTAACAATAACTATAACATCTGTAACAATCTGTAACATGTTACAATATCTGTAGCATGTACTGCAGAATTACTGATCATCACTGATGGGTGTGTGTGTGTGTCTCTGTGTGTGTGTGTCTCTGTGTCTGTGTGTGTGTGTCTCTGTATGTGTGTGTGTGTCTCTCTGTCTGTGTGTGTGTGTGTGTGTGTGTGTGTCTCTCTGTGTGTGTGTCTCTCTGTGTGTGTGTCTCTCTGTGTGTGTGTCTCTCTGTGTGTGTGTCTCTCTGTGTGTGTGTCTCTCTGTGTGTGTGTCTCTCTGTGTGTGTGTCTCTCTGTGTGTGTGTCTCTCTGTGTGTGTGTCTCTCTGTGTGTGTGTCTCTCTGTGTGTGTGTCTCTCTGTGTGTGTGTCTCTCTGTGTGTGTGTCTCTCTGTGTGTGTGTCTCTCTGTGTGTGTGTCTCTCTGTGTGTGTGTCTCTCTGTGTGTGTGTCTCTCTGTGTGTGTGTCTCTCTGTGTGTGTGTCTCTCTGTGTGTGTGTCTCTCTGTGTGTGTGTCTCTCTGTGTGTGTGTCTCTCTGTGTGTGTGTCTCTCTGTGTGTGTGTCTCTCTGTGTGTGTGTCTCTCTGTGTGTGTGTCTCTCTGTGTGTGTGTCTCTCTGTGTGTGTGTCTCTCTGTGTGTGTGTCTCTCTGTGTGTGTGTCTCTCTGTGTGTGTGTCTCTCTGTGTGTGTGTCTCTCTGTGTGTGTGTCTCTCTGTGTGTGTGTCTCTCTGTGTGTGTGTCTCTCTGTGTGTGTGTCTCTCTGTGTGTGTGTCTCTCTGTGTGTGTGTCTCTCTGTGTGTGTGTGTGTGTGTGTGTGTGTGTTTGTGTCTCTCTGTGTGTGTGTGTGTGTGTGTGTAGCGCACTCAAGACAGGAAGGACATGTATAATCTGAATGAGGAAGAGGAGCTGACCCATTATGGCCAGTCTCTGGCGGAGATGGAGAAGATGACAGATGTGATTGACAGCGACAGCGACTCTGAAGAAAAGGGCCTGCTGTCAGGTGAGGCATTTAAACATGAATGATCATCAGTAATCAATAGTCATTCATTGTTACGGTCAGTAACTGATGTGATGATGGATGTGTCTGCAGCTGAACTGACCGCCACACATTTCGGCGGCGGTGGAGGTTTGCTGAGGAAGAAGAGCGCTGGAGATGAAGACGAAGAACACAAGCCCAAATCACGGCAGGAGCTGATCGAGGAGCTCATTATCAAGTCCAAACAGGAGAAGGTCAGAAAGTGTGTCCTCAAATAATAAACTGTTACTTTACTGTGATTAAACATCATCCTGTCTCATCCTTAAACATCATCACACCAATAACAATAACTGTATATCTATAAGGATAGTTGTATAATAACTATAACAAAATCTATAATAGCTATAATGATAACTGTGATAGTTGCAACTATAACTGTAACAATAAGGATAGCTGTAACAATAATTATAACAATAGATATAACTATAAGAACAGCTGTAATGTTAACTATAGCAATAGCTATAACAATAACTAGAACGAGAGCTGTAACAACTGTAATGGTAGCTTTAACAATAGTTGTAAAAATTAGCTAGTAGCTATAATGACAGCTGTAACGTTAACTATAATGATAAATGTAATCACTATAAATGTAATCACTATAAACAACATCTGTAACGATAACTGTATCAACATCTGTAACAAGTATACCAATAGCTATACCAATATCTAATGACAGCTGTGACAATAACTTTAACAACATATGTAACAATAACTATAATGACAGCTGTAACGATAAATTTAGCAACAGCTGTAACAATAACTACAACTGTGATAATAACTATAGCATCTGTAACAATAACTATAACAGTAACCAAAACTATACCAACATCTGTAACATTAACGACAGCTGTGACAATAACTTTAACAACATATGTAACAATAACTATAATGACAGCTGTAACGATAACTTTGATATGTATAATGAGAGCTGTAACATTAACTATAGCTAACAATAGCTGTAACAATAACTATAACATCTGTAACGACAACTGTAACGATAACTGTAACATCTGTAACAACTAAAATGACAGCTGTAACGATAACTGATAAGTATAACGAGAGCTGTTACGTTAACTATAGCTAACAATAGCTGTAACAAAATATTTGTAACAATAATTATAACAACAACTGTAACATCTGTAACAATAACTATAACAACAACTGTAACGATAACTTTAAGTATGACAGCTGTAACATTAACAATAGCTGTAACAATAAATATAACATCTGTAACCATAACTATAATGACAACTGTAACAATAATTGTAACAATATTTGTAATGATAACAATAAACGATATTATCGTCCACACTTTCCGATGATCATGTTTTGTCGTCTGCCACTGTTACTGCTCAAGCTCTCTAGTTGAGAATATTCTGATTGGCTCTCAGTGTTTTTATCGTTCATCAGCTGGAGAAAAAAAAGGTCTAAAAGTGAGACCAACAATATCGCTCCTCGTTGTTATTGTTATAGTAGTAGAGTTAGAGCGATTATTAAACTTTATGGTTGTGAGCGGTTCTTTAATGCTGACGCTCTTGATGTTCTCAGCGCGAGCGTCAGACGCAGAAGGAGGAGGCGCAGGAGCTCACGGAGAAACTGGATCAGGAGTGGAAATCCATCCAGAACCTTCTGGCCCATGTGTGTGTGTGTGTGTGTGTGTGTGTGTGTGTGTCAGCTGGACGAGTATGACATGACTGTGCGAGAGCTGGGCTTCGAGATGAAGGCTCAACCGTCAGAGAAGCTGAAGAGCGCGGAGGAGCTGGCTCGAGAGGAGAAACGGCGCCTGCAGACTCTGGAGGTACTGAGCTCCTGCTGCCGTACACCTGAGGATGAGGAGGAGGAAGAGGAAGACCTCACTGATGTGTGTTTGTGTTTCAGGCCAACAGACTGAAGAGGATGATGGGAGACGCTGACGCTGAGGAAGAGCAGGTCTGTGCTGAAGGGCCTCCAGCAGTGATTGAGGAGCAGAAGAAAGCTGCACAGGAAGCAGCCAAAGCAGAACTGCCCTACACCTTCACAGGTACCACAGTCACATGATCGTCAGGAACTCACCTGACCTGCTGCTAATGCATGACTGAATGAATCTGTCCTGAAGACAAGTTTGTTTAGGGGTCAGAGGTCAGTTTAGGAGATGCAGTGGAAGTCTAAGAGATGAGCTCACTAGTGTGTGTGTGTCTGTGTGTGTCTCTCTCTGTGTGTGTGTGTGTGTGTGTGTGTGTCTCTCTGTGTGTGTCTCTCTGTGTGTGAGTGTGTGTGAGAGAGTTTGTGAAGACTGAAGAGGATGATGGGAGACGCTGAGGAAGAGGCTGTTCAGACCAACACACACATCTCTGCTGACGATATGAATGATGGGTTCATACTGGACGGAGACGACCGCAAAACACTGGCTTACAAGGTCAGACACACACACACTCCCTCGCCATAACAAACCTTAAAATCAAAAAACAAACCTGGAGCACAAAACCAGTCATAAGAGTACATTTTTTTTGAAATTGAGATTTATGCATCATCTGAAAGTTGAATAAATGAGCTTTCCATTGATGTATGGTTTGTTAGGATAGCACAATATTTGGCTGAG